AGCAAAAGAAAAGACAATTAAATATACTTTGGACAGAATTCAATGTAAAATGTAAAAAAATATTTATAAAGATATACAGGCCTATAAAATTGTTATTTAAATGTATAAATATGGCAGCTGTGGTTCTTAATTTAACAGCCGCAAGTTCTTTTGTATAATGTATCAATATGATGTGAGGTTACCTAACATCACTCACTATCCCTCAGCTTAGTCCCTGATTTATCAGGAGTCGCCTCAGCAGAATCAACCACCAATTACTCTGGCATATGTTTTATGCAGCAGATCCCCTTCCAGCCACAATCCAGTACTAGGTTTTTAACATAGTGGTAATGTAGTCAACCAACTTCATAATTTGTGATGTTGCAATATGTATTTGAATAATGATGAATGATTCCTTTACTTGAAAGCTCAGATTGGATTATCACCATTTCTTTTGTTGACAGAGTTTGAGGTTTACTGTATCATTATTATTCACACCTAAAGTTTGCTTTGATTGTTCAGCATTTGCACTTTACCATTGCACACACTTTGTAATGTTTTTTAACAAGTTTTAGAGTCTCTTTAACACTTATGTTTATTTTATTATGAAAAGATCAGATATTTTTGTTTAAATATTTTTGGTTTTGACTATTAAAACTATTTGCCTTAGAAATGTTGGTAAATTAAAATAAGTGGCTTTTTTAAAATTATAAAATAGCTAAATAGATTGTAAAAAAATTAGTAATTATCGATACCGAATGATATGAAACATGATTTTGTAATAAAAATTTTTGCAATATCACCCAGCCCTATTCGTGACTTTGGTAGATCAAATATAATTGTTTAAAAACATTAAAACATCTTTGAATATTTTACAATGCTGTAAAATACAAGCCTAAAACCTAGAAAGGGTTTTGTTATTTTGGTGAAAACTTTTTTTTTTCATGGCAAGGCTGACTTTTGCATGAAATTGCTCAGCTGTAATCTAGAGTGGGTCATCAATAATCATCTCACCTGTACCATGGGTGCATCAGTGGGCCATCAAGAACCATCTTAATGGTAGTCTGGGAGTGAGGCATCAAGAACCATCTGCTGATCAAAAGAAATTCTGCTTAATCTCATCACATTAAAGGATGGGTGTTTCAACCCGAAAAGTCACCCAAAAATTGTAGGAAATAATGAGAACCACTGTCACTGTTATCATCAATATACATTTATATCAAACTTTATTGACACATTGAGTGGAAAGATGAATGCAAAACAGTATGTTTTAATTAAGGGTGTTAATTGACTCCACTGAATCTGATTCTTGTCTCTACATTGTCAATGCTATGCCGAGTCACACAACAACAATAGCACGTCATAATTTTGCCAAGTACGATGTGATCCTGGATTCATCTCAGGATCCTCAGATACATCTATGTTGATCCTGGAACATAATTTTGTTCGGAAATGAAAACCATGCCTATTCCCTACCCCAACACCAAACCATAACTGTAACAGGGTATAACAGGGTGTAAGTATAGTGTATAGACCGTCATATTGGGGTGATATAAACACACCCAGTCATTTTTTTTTTCAATTTAACAACATAAAAACGGTGGAGCAATTGAATCGGTTTTTAGATCAACCGCAACTTGGCGTAGGAGTGCGGTACCCCCGCCCACCAATATTGATTGTCAGGCACGCGTCACCTAATCCTCAGTTTGTCATTTCATGACCGCCATTTTCAGCGTGTGAGTCAAAGCGATGTCACTAAAGGAAACCCTTGCTTTATTTTTAGATGCAAGGCTCATTGGACTCAACACAAGAGCAGCATTCACCACATGATCACTCTAATCGGAATTATTGTTTGTAACTTAGTTTATTTGTAGGTAGGTTTGCAAACATGTGTACTTTTCATTGCATCTATCTTAAACTTCAGCCGTTTGCATTTCTCGAGGTCACAGAAGCTCCCTGTGAGTGTGATCTTAACAAGGTGCAGCTGTAAAGTGCGACGGCCTGTCCCTTACGTGAGTGTCGCTCCATTGAAAATAAAATACCACCCTCACCTGCTGGTCGCACACCAGAAGCGCCGCTCGGCAACGCACAGCGTCGCACTATGCATTTTAGAATTCTAAACGTAGGTTTCTATCAGGGTACACACAACGGCAATTCAAGTCGGTGGCTTTCCGCGGTGCCCAGCCAGAATTCGGGACACTTCATGTGCGCCATCGGAACATGCGAATGTCCGTGTCTGGTGTGCCATGTCGTATCTCTAAGTGGGTCATCCGGTGCCTTAGTTAAAGGTAATTTAGTGTGCATGGTTATTAGTCTTGGTGTACAAGCTCGGCACTTGAAACTAGCACACAGTTGGCTGTAAAACCATACAAAGACACAAATGATTTTGTACTCTCTGCTTAGTCTGTATCTGAGGTGTACATGTACGGCTGAATGCTGATCCTCAAATGTCTGCCTGTTTGTTGCCAAACACAGAGAGGGGAAGCTCTTGGCTCCGCCCCCTTGTTAAGTTGGGCGGGAATTTGAAACAAATTTTCATGTGAAACAACACACCCCTACAACAGCGAGTTGAACCTAAACCGGCACACTCAAAAAAACCATAATATTAATATTAAATCATAAAAAAGGGGTGAACTAAGTGCCCTTTAATGCTGTGTTTACACCAGAAGAGGAATGTGCAAATAAACTGCACTATTTGTGCGTGAATAGACGCGAAAACATTTTGAGTTTACTTGCTTCATTCACTTTATAAAAGACATGTATTCGCGTCATGGGCAGGGCTTCTGTCTGCCTGGTAACTAGCTTCTGTTGTCTTATATTCTCTTTGCATTAAAAAAAAAAAAAAAAGGGAAACAAATTTTGAATTACCCCTTGTGCAAAATGTTATGCCGTGTCTCTGGGCAGGACAGTGAATGTGATGTCCAGTCCTTTTTCTTTCTGAAAGCCTTGATAACACTATCACAGAGTTTTTTTTTATTTAGTATTTGAGCAAATAGGACTGTAAATATATATATATATATATATATATATATATATATATATATATATATATTTGTGGTACCCTCCAATTCACTGCAATCAATTGCTGCATCCCTATTCACATATGCATCCTAAATAGAATTTAAAAATAGAATTTGTATGTCCTAAACCATAGTATGTGGAAAAGAGTATGCCGGATGGTTTATTATATCTGGTAAAATTTCATAGAACCGTTAATGCTCTAACCACTGATATTGCCCACAATACATTGCTAGTTGGATGTGAATTTGATCAGAACTACAAATTCAGGTAATAAAAGTATAAACAAACTACAAACATTGTGGACAGGCGAGACCAACCATTAAGTAGAGAGGCTTTGGTAAAGTTGTTTGAATGACTGTTGATCACTATCTACATAGGCGGAGCGTGTGTAAGGCTGGGGAAGGCTTAGCCTCCCTCTGGCCAGAGACCACAGAGATAGCAAAGAAAAAAAATTGCTTTGAAAACATGTAATGGGTGTAAGGCGGAATATGTAATTTAATGTTAATGATTAACAAAACACTTTAGTTACAAATTCAAAATACCCCTCTGCACAAAAACAGAACTGTCCAACTGATTAGCGCTGTTTTTAATTGGAGTTGGCAGCAGCTCTGAAAACGAAACAGAAACTGCTGGCCAGCAGACTTTTCTCATTTGCTGGTCAAGAACGTAATAAATAAAATGACAAATGAGTATTACGAGAGAGGTATGATAATATAGTATTCTTTTTAATTAGTTTTCAGTTTTAAATGAAATGCCTTATTTTGGTTGTTTCATTGTATTCTAGCCCATAGTAATCTTGTTTTGCATTTAAATTCTGCAGTTTTCTACAGGAGTGATGGGAAGTCAAGATTTATGTTTTAATTTGTATTTTGAATAATATAAATCTAGTTTAAACAAACAATTAGTCACGCTAGCTAATTGCTACTGGATTACCTTTACTCTGCAATGGTTGCCTCTAATTTAATTGCCAATAAGTTTACCATATTTTCATTTTCTTTTTTGTTGTTTCTAGCTTAATAAAGAAAAATAAATTCAGTATCCTAATCACAGTGTAAAAATGCTTATTTTTATATATTTATTGCTGAATTGCAAGTTCAGTTTTCGATTGACCTTGTGGCAAAGTGAATGATTTCAGATTCTTGACACATTTTTGCATTTGATCTATTTTTGCAAAAGGGTTAGATACTCAAAAATGTTACTTGTTAAATCAATTACAATATTACTAGATATCATAAATAGAAGAAACTAGCTATTATACACTTAGTTTAAGAGTAAGCACTGAGGTTCACCCTATTTAGGCCCACTCATTTTAAAATGTCTGGCCCCTGGCTGCATATCAAAACTAACTATAATAATTGAATGAATCTAATAAAATAATTTAATGTGCATATTAAATATAAGACGTTTGTTAATAGGCAGTGCTTTTGTTAAAACCTCTTCTTGGTCAGTCTATTTGAATGTGTAAAAGGGCAGCACATATCAGCCTTACCCTGGAGCTTGCTCACCCTCTGCCAATGACTATCTAGCCAACTGGAACATATTTAAACTGTGTTTTCCCTGCTATATTTCATCTGCAACAACAGTGTGAACTTCTATCAAGATATGTTTAGATATTCACTTCTGAATGCATAATTAAAGAGCTGAGAAGATTTCTCTGCGTGAAAGACTTGCGAATTGCAGATCCTACTGCTGCTTCTTCAAAAAGGTAACTTAACAAGGGGGCGGAGCCAAGAGCTTCCCCGATCTGTGTTTGGCAACGAACAGATGCTGAGTCGAGATGATTGACAGGTGACAAGCAACATAACGATCTGTTAACTAGGAAGTAGTATATCCTAAAGCTTGCATACTCTTCTGTTACACAAGTAAATACTTTTCCCTTTACAAAAAATTATATACTTTTAGGGCGTGGTATAAGTATGTAAATTGGGACACAGCGTAAGTTTACCCAATCACGACGACTTCCGCTGCTGATAAATTCGGAAATGTGAAAATGGTGCATTGGTTCTTTCCTTGAGTGACTGATATCACGTCTCCACAGGCGGCAAACGTGAGTGTATTGAGAAAGCTTTCAGATACTTGTTCAACGCGTTTTTACCCTTTACGTGTACAAACAAACTGCTTGTGCTTTAGAAACCAATGATACAACACTAAAGACAGATGTAACGACCACTTGAGCATATTTAACAGCTTATTCTAACACTTATAACAGCGTTCTCTAACGATATCGCGATTAACATCTTACATTCCACACCTTGTTATGATACAATCTATGAAAAGTGTCTATTTAGTCTTTATATTTACCTGTAGAACAGAAGACACTGGAAACTCGCATCTGCCCTTTCACAGCTCTACTGATGTATGGAGCATGCGCAGTTTGCTCCTCGTCGCAACACTCAAATTTTATTTTAGTTTATATTTTATTTTTTGCTTTCAGTGTGAAGCAATATGCATTTGTTATTTTGCTCACAAAAATATGGATAAACCTGCAAAAATAAATAAATACGCAATGAATGAGTAAATAAATCCACAAATTCCCGATGATTGATCATATCTATCTATGATGATTGACAGTCACCTTCTTTTAGCATGTTTACTTAGGAAATGTAAATGCGGATCTACGTGTTTTGTTTTATTCATGCAGGAATTTATGGATGCATTTATTTATGTATTTATTGTTTTACTTGTTGTTTTATTTATGTAGTAATTTACAAATTATTTACAAATTTATTTGCATATTTATGTATTGCTTTATTCATGTATTGTTTTGTTTATACAGACATTTATGGTTATTAATTTTTATTAATTTATTTGATTATTAATTTATTGTTTTATTTATGCAGGGATTTAATTTATTTAAGTAATTTATGTATTTGCTTTATTTATGCAGGAATTTGTGAGGGTTTAAGTTTATTTATTTGTTTGTTTATTTATTCTTTAGTTTTATCTTTAAATGCATTTACTCATTAATTAATTAATTTATTTATTGTTTTATTTATGTAGGAGTTTACGTATTTACTCATTTATTTGCACATTTATTTGTTTTATTTATTCACTGTTTTGTTTATAAGGGGAATTTATGGTTTTATCGAGTCATTTATTGATTTATTTACATATTTATTTTTTGCATTTATGCAGGAATTTATGGATTTACTAAGCAATTTATTTGCTTTATGCAGGATTTGTGGATGTACTTTAATCATTAATTAAATTTTACATTTTTTTATTTATTTGCATATTTATTGTATTTGCAGGTTTCGTCCTCCATACAAACCCTGCATAAATGAGGTAATCGTGAAACTTTTATATAGTCTAACATACAACACAATTGTCATTTTACATATTTGTGAATCATTTTTTAATGCAATATTTTATATATTTTTTAAACTGTGCATGAGGATCCAATAAGCTTTGTTTTCTAATCATAATTTTAGATGACCCGCAACAAATAGCCAAGTGTAAAAATAGCACTATAAAGGTAAAATGATTTTTCAATTAAAGTGATAGTTCTGTCAAAAATGAAAATCCTATCATTATTTGCTCATGCGTTACTTTTTTTCTGTTGAGCACAAAAGAAGATATTTTGAAGAAAGCTGGAAACTGCTAACCATTGCCTTCCACTGTATTTGTTTTTCCTACTATTAGGATTGAACTTGTTACTGTTAACAAACCATCATCAAAAAAAAAATGTCTGATGAGACCATTTATATATATATATATATATATAATTTATTTATTTATTTATTATTTGCAACCAACCGGTTAACTAAATCTTACATCTCAAGCTCATGTCAAGAATTCGTTACACTTTTTTTTTTTTTTTTTTTTTTCGGATGTGTTTGATTTAAGGGGTCAAATCTGTCATTGATACATTCTGCATTGTTTGTATGGTGGGTGGGTGTGGGTGGGTGGAATTGTGCTTGGAGGTGGATGTAGATGGTATAAAAATATGGGCTGGTCTCTTTGTGCTCCTTTAGTAGTTCATTGTCCTTGACCTGTGTGGTGTTTTGGCATATAAAAAACAAAAGTCTTTCTTTTTTTTCTGCTTGGAGCGTCAGAAGTAGAGAGAGAGAGTGTGATGGCCCGCTGGAATGTGACGTTCGCTCGTCTGGATCAGTCCCTGTCTTCATTGAAAAATCTGCTGCAGGTCAAGGTGACTCGCTCAGGCAGAGCACCGCAAAACTCCACTGTCCAGCCATTCAATAAGATCCCTGGACGATGGAGGAACAGCCTGCTCAGTGTCCTTGCCTTCACCAAAATGGGAGGCCTCAGGAATGTCCACCGAATTATGGTGCACAATTTCAAAACATTTGGTCCAATTTACAGGTAAGACACTAAAAAAATAATATACTAGTAATTATTAGTGCTGTTATTACTATTTAAATGGTTTCTCACAAATTTGACATCAGGAAAACTCACAGATTTACAGTTAAAGTCAAAATCATTAGCCCGCCCTCATGTGAACAATATTATTATTTTTATTATTTTTAATGGAGAGATTAATTTTCAATGCATTTTAAACAGAAGTTGGTTATCATTACTATATTATTTTGTCTTTTCCATGATGATCGTAGGCTACATAAGATTTTTCTGCTTATTTTGCATGTGTGCTGAAAATCTTTACAATGCAAACACAACTAGAAGCACATGCTGCACATCCTGAACACATACACATTAAGAAAATATGCTGCAAATCCTCACAGAACATGCACATTTTGATAAAAAAAAAATAATAATTTGACTGAAGTTAACACGTGGTTATGCATTATGTTGTCCTTTCCATCATTGTTTTCATCTACTCTGGGGTGAATTATTTTTATTATTATTTTTTTTTGTGTGTGTGTGTGTGTGTGTGTGTGTGTGTGTGTGTATGTTTTAATTTGGCAACTTTCTCTGTGTTTCAGCATATGAAATGATTTTTGGTGTTCAGTCTTATTTCAACACATTTTTGGAAAATGCTTTAAAAGTTTTTTAAAAAAAACTCAACAATACCCTCTGGCCAAGTTTATCTACAACCCTTTCATTATGTTCTTGGCTGTTTTTGCCCCACTGGCTTTCTTTATTGGACCTGCACTACAACTTGCTGTTATATTCCATAAAATTTAATTTAAAAGCCAGAAACTTCTTTGCACAGGCCTATCTAAATGGTTAATGTTGCAAACTGATGATCAACTGTAAAAATCATAAATTTGACCTCCTCCCAACAGGGAAAACCAGCAACAATCAAGAAAGCATGATTTTATGGTGTCAAGGCTTTGCAATCAAAAGTGGTTATAATGGAAGTAAATGGGGCAAAAACAGCCACCGACATATTGAAAGAGTTGGAAAATTAAACAATACACAAGGGTTAATCTTGAAGTGTCTTGAGTTGATGTGTTTTCTCGTCATTGTTCCATTTAACGCCAATAAGTTGAAAACCTTTTATATAAAGGTATTTTTATTTTCTTAAAACTCTGACTTTTACTTAGAACTTGGAATTGCAAGATAGTTATTTAGTTTAATTTTCATTTAGTTTGTGATGGAAAAAAAACTTCCATATATTTCTTTGTTCTATTTTCATGCTGACTTCAGTTGTATGGAATGGGGTTAATGAAAATCTGCATGCTAGATCTCTCTCTCTCTCTCTCTCTCTCTCTTCTCTCTCTCTCTCTCTCTCTCTCTCTCTCTCTATCTATCTATCTATCCATCTATTTCTCTATCGATGTTTAGAGCTGGGAGATAGCATCAAACGTTCTTTCATTAAGCTGCTATAATTTTGAATGATTTATTCAGCTTTTGCATTTGTAGTTAAAACATTGAGTTATTTATTCACTACCAGTCAAACATTTGACAAAGCTTTTGAATGTTTAAAGGAATCCAATTCTATTCACCAAGGCTACATTAATTCAATCAGAAATAGAGGAAAAAAAAATCAGTCGCTAAATATTTTTGTTAAATAATGTGGTTTTAAAAAATAGAAATTTATTCCTGTGATTTTTACAAGCTGAATTTTTATAATTATTACTCCAGTCTTCAGCGTCACATCATCATAATGATTATTTGCACTTCTAATTAGTTATTGTTGTTACAAAATAAAAAAAATACTATTATTAAAACTATTTCTTGCTTTATGGCATCATGGAAGCTGTGATACATTTTGCTTTTAGGATGCTTTGATTAAAAAAAAAATACACAAATTCAAAATAACAGCTTTTTATTTGTTATATTTGCTTTACATTTTATAAATTTATTTTCATTTAACTTACTGTGATGAATAAAAGTAAATATATTTTTAATGGTACTTTTGAATGGTGTTTTATCGGTTTCCCAAGCTGACAGCAATAATAGTTCTTGAGCTGGTTATGAGTAAAATATTTAACGGGTTATGTGAGGACTAAGTATGCTTGATTCAGGTTTAAACCACCAGAATTAAACTAAACTATGTTCATTAAAATAGCAATCCCTTTTGGTGATCTGAAACATTAAAGTGTGGCAAACATGCAAAAGAAACCTCAGTATATTTGCAAATTGGTAATTCCAGGGGCTCTGAGGATGTTAGATGGTTATGCTTTTGTTTGGTGCTTGTGCTTGGATACTCTGAGATGTTACATCTCTTAACCACATCTCTGAACCACCAACTAAATGCCATTCTACGAATTGGCTCATCACCAAAAAAAAAACTAAAAGTGGAACTGCCTGCTTGATCACTAACTAACTTTTATTATTTTTGTAATGTAGTAGACATCTTTTGTTAGTTTAGGGATCTAGCAGGCATATAGAAGTGGGCTTGCAAACAACTTGTACTCCTACTACAACTGACAATAATTCAGTGAATGAAACTTCAATGTCATTTACAGCTCAAAATAAATGTGTTAATAAACATGAAAACAATTGAGTCTTTCTGTAGCTAAAATAGTGCTAGCAATGCTAATGTTTTGGGTTTGATTCCCAAGGAAAGGTATGAAATGTACACATTCAAATAGCATATGTATAATTAGCTTTTTATCAGCCAATATAGAATAAGCCATTGGTGCATTCCTACATGCTGTAACAATATATGTATGTACAAATCCACTTGGACAGGGAAAAAGTTGGAATCTACGATAGTGTGTACATCATAAAGCCTGAAGACGGTGCTATCCTGTTCAAAGCTGAGGGCCATCACCCCAATAGAATCAATGTAGACGCGTGGACCGCCTACAGGGACTACAGGAACCAAAAATATGGCGTCCTGCTAAAGTAAGCAATGTTATTCAATACCTGCTATAAACATGTCTACTGGAATAGTAAAACATACTGATTTGTACCTGCAGAGAAGGGAAGGCCTGGAAGACTGATAGGATGATTCTAAACAAGGAACTGCTTTTGCCGAAGTTGCAGGGGACCTTTGTGCCTCTCCTGGAGGAGGTCGGGCAGGACTTTGTGGCTCGTGTCAACAAACAGATTGAGAGGAGTGGGCAAAAACAGTGGACCACAGATCTGACCCATGACCTCTTCAAGTTTTCACTGGAATGTAAGAACTGACACCTTTAATGACATGTATTAAAGAGCCCCTATTACGTTTTTTTGAAAATTCTTTCATGCAGTGTGCAACACAGCTCTAAGTGTATGAAAACATTCAGCTGAGGGGTAAATCTGAGTGCGTTTTGTTAAAAAAAAAAAAAAAAAAAAATTCGACTCGTATGCATGTATAAAATATGTATCTGGGGAATTTATTATTTTGTACAATTTGATTTGCCCTCAAACTTTAATCCAATATCGTGACTCAAAACAACTTTTCTTTACTTTGATCACGCAGAATAGCTTTATGGCAGGGCTATCAGACGTTTTGTGCGTAGCTATCAGTGTGTGACTCGTTTCTTCCCTACCTTACCAGAAGGCAGTTGAATTTTTAATGTTAAATTTAGCTCCTCGTTCTCAACACTATCAGGCATCAGAAAGCATTCAGATGATTCCAGTGGACAAATCCTCTTCCATTTCTTCCAACGTTCCAGTCGGTTCCCAAATAATGAAATCCTTCACCACACTACTTTATTTTTTTATTTCTGAATCTTAACTTTTTATTTTATTCCAAATTTAAAACATTGAGATTTATTTTTTTGTCAAAAAATGATAGGATAATCATACTTTAAACTTTGCATAAACCACATATTAGCACACCTGCCAACATTTGTCTCTGAAAGTTAGTTTTTTGGTGAGAAATAAGAAAACGGGAGGGTGGTTGTGAGAAATACGGGAGACTCCGGGGAAAATGGGAGTGTTGGCAGGTATGCATATTAGTGCAATTATGTTATGTTGATTACTTGATTGCCAAAGGTTTTAGGACTTTTTGGTATAATGATGTTTTGGTAAAATTGATCTGAATTAAATTTTTCTCCCAGCAATAGTTTACCCAAGAATTAAAATGGTGTATTATTCATTTGTGCAATACTCTACACCGATCCTAAACTGTTGAATGTTTTCTGTTTGTTTCTCAGCGGTGAGTGCTGTGTTGTATGGGGAGCGTTTGGGTCTTCTGTTGGACAACATTGATCCAGAATTTCAGCACTTCATTGACTGCGTCTCAGTCATGTTTAAGACCACCTCACCCATGCTGTACCTACCCCCGGGCCTGCTTCGGTCCATAGGGTCCAACATTTGGAAAAACCACGTTGAAGCCTGGGATGGCATCTTTAACCAGGGTAACTCAATGCTGACTTTAATATTCAATTATTATTGTTTTTATTATTATTTTTATTATCAGGAAACATTTTCTAAAGAAACTTCAACTGATTTTTCGTCCCTTCTAATTTTTCCAAAAGCTGACCGATATATCCAGAATATCTTCAAACAATGGAAAGAAAATCCAGAAGGCAATGGGAAGTATCCTGGTGTACTGGCAATCCTTCTAATGCAGGACAAACTGTCCATCGAGGATATAAAGGCCAGTGTCACCGAGCTGATGGCTGGAGGGGTGGACTCGGTATGAGAAATAATTAATGATACACTTGTTTTATGACTCAGATTGGAGTGAGGTTTAGGAGGGAAACAGACTAACAATCTTGTTAGTGCACCTGTCTCCGGAAACACTCAGTTGAATCAAGCTTTGAGTGGGTAGAGCTAGAGAGACTACAAAGTAGTGATGACCCAGTTGAGATCAACCTTTAGGGAGGGATTTACATAAGCCATAAAAGAGATGTGTGAATAAACTTAATTTCCATGGCATAAAGAGGGCTGAAGTCCTAATCGTTCTTGTGTTATGTTGGTGCCGTGACCCAGCAAGGCATTTAGGATTCTTTGACAAACAAAAGCTCTCTTGTTCATTTCTTTTGTTCAGTTTATCAAGATCAGAGGAACATAAAAACATGAAGACACTAGAAAGCTTAAAAGTAGTACTAAAATCATAGTTGTCCATACAAAGAGGTCAGTGATGCCAAGAACTAAATACACAGGAGCCCAATGTGTTTAATTGTATGAACGGGACCATTCTTTAAAGCTGTCAAAAACAGATGAATCATTTATGGTAAATGCTGGAACTTCTCATTTAATTTTGTGCTAACTTTTGAACTCTGTGTGTTTTTTTTTTTTGTGTGTGTGTGTATGTATGTGTGTGTGTCAGGTTACTTTCACACTGCTGTGGACGCTTTATGAACTGGCTCGACAGCCAGACCTACAGGACGAGCTCCGAGCAGAAATCTCAGCCGCTCGTATTGCCTTTAAAGGAGACATGGTACAGATGGTCAAGATGATTCCTTTGCTTAAAGCAGCCCTGAAAGAAACTCTCAGGTATACAAAGACTTCACTTTATTTTAAATTAATACATAGGGCAGTTAATAAGGCATATAAGGGAAACATACAAAATATATCCTGTTGGTGTGGCTTCAGGAACAGGGTTGGGAAAACACTAACTTGAGGTGGCCATTAGTTTGGGGATAATGTGTTATAAGTAACACACGTTACATAATCTAACTTTTTTTTTTTTAAGTAACGAGTATAGTGACACATTATTAAAAAAAAGAAAAGACAGTAATGTAACGCAATTTACTTTTTACCTTTTTTAATTGGCTTTTACAAAATATATTATAGAATAAAAATGACCATAGGTTGAATAACACCCTCAATAAGAGGGCGTGCTCTGAAGGAACAGACAGTCTGCTTGCTCTCATCATCAGGTCAGGTCTCTCTTTTTTCACAGCAGCTTAGTGTACTGTTAAGTAACTGAATAACTCTGGATAATAGTTTATCACGAGTCAGAGAGGGTATCAAGTATGTTAGTACTGAAGATGCAAACAGTTTCACAAAACCTTGGAGTGTCCTCCAAATTTATACACAACCTATTCATTTTATATATAATTGAAGTCCTTCATTTGCAACTCCATGCGCTGACTACTTCACCACTGTTTAGTTACTCTGAATCACCTCCTGTTGTTACAAATAATAGTACAACCACAAGTCTAAAAGCCTGTGACAAGCAGTGAAATATCTAACTGATCTGTCTAAATAAGATTTAAAGAGAAAGATGTAACGTAACGCATAAAATGCATACAATTTTTTAAAAGACTGTAGAAAGCAAAAGCTGAATTCCGGCTGGGATTTCTAAATCCTAAAATGCGCGGAAGCTTTTTGTAAGACTTAAAAAGAGGACATGTCTGGAAAAAATAAACAGGGTGTATGGTCACCTTGATACTATTATTCAAGCTCCGATACGTAAAATGAACAACACCAAATGTCCTCCAAAAATCCAATGTAAATAGCCTTTTGGGTTGAAAACTGTGACGTGTAAATGTTTTCTAAAATCGACTTCTTTCTTTTGAAGATTACATCCTGTAGCAATGAGTCTTCCAAGGTTCATCACTGAAGATACGGTCATACAAAATTACCACATTCCAGCAGGGGTGAGTGTGAATCAAAAGTTCCCCATTTTGCATTTTTCCCTATGATACGTTTCAGATAGTCTGTAATAAATCTCTTTGTGATGGTAAAATCTGCAATTTTTCTGTGATCTGTGTACTTTGTGTATCAAAGTACACAATGAATAAAGTTATTAGGTCAGATTTACTAACAGGTGTTTTTGGTGATAAAACGTTACACTATGTACTTACTAAACACTCACAGAAAAGAATAGTGATTAAAAAGGCACGGACAGCTACTTTTGCGCTTGTGTAATGACCAATGCAATGCTATTCACTAATATTTGTCTCGGGCAGTGCAACACATCTGCTTTACATAGTCATTTAGGTTGTTGACAGTGGCCTGTGGAGTGTTGGTCCACTCCTCTTCAATGGCAGAGTGAAGTTCACAAGTTTTGAAGAAGCATACTGACTGCAGGAATGTCCACCATAGCACTTTCCTGTGAATTGATTGTTCATTTCTGTAGCTTAAGCCATCTCCAAAAGCATTTCAGAGAATTTGGCAGTACATCCAACTAGCCTTAGAACTGCAGACCATGTGTATGCATACCTGACACTCACAAACAACAGCTTCACCTCCAAGATCATCTTGAAAGCCCAGCCCCCAGTACAGCAGCTGCAACAATCTGCTGCATAAATCAAAATTTGCATAACGAATGAATTTCTGCACAAACTTGTAGAAACTGTCTTAGGAAAGCTCATTTGCATGCTTGCTATCCTCATCTGGTATTTGACCTGACTGCAGTTCGTCATTGTAACCGAATTGAGTGGGAAAATGCTCACATTCGATGGCATCTGGCACTTTGGAAATGTGTTTTCTTTATGGATTAATCCCAGTTTTCATTGTAATATTACAGTTCTTGCATGGTCAGCATACTCCCATGTCGCTAGAGCTGCACGATATTGGAAAAAAACTGACGTTGCAATGTTTTGTTTTGTTGCAAATGCAATATATTTTGCGATATTAATGTAATTTAACCAGTTGACTTGAATGGCTCAATTTGGAGAAAATTACTGATTTTATACTGGGATTATAGACAGTTAAGGTTATTGCACATTGAATATGAAATTTTCGTCTGTAATTTTCTCATATCAGTCGTATTGACACACTGCCCCTGAAACCTTCCTCTGTTACAAAATTTTTTAATTGGTTTCGTTATTTATTTTTTTCTCTTTGCATCTGAAAAAGTGGTTTGAGAGGCGTTTTAACCGTTCAGAGCCACCTAAATGCAGCTAAAACGCTGAATGCAGAATGCTGTAATTTAAGCTAGAGATAACTTTATGAAAAACACAGTGCATAATATAAAGAAAACTTGGTGGATAGTTGAACCCCTTTATGTGCTGGATTTAATGACTTGCGCACCTCTCCCCTGTGGCAGCTTGGTGTGTGTATTTGTCTCTGAAAAGCATGGTCCACTTTTGGCTGGTTGCTTCAACTTGCCAACGTACAAGGTACTGCCAGTCTCTATTTAGGATTTGTTTAAGTACATGAATGTGTGACGCATCACAAGCAATGTATCAAAGTTTTACTGAATTCCTGAAATGAAATAAACTGCATTTCGGGATTATCAGTGCAACACTTTGATAATAAACTGATCTCTTCTTCCTCAATGCAGTATTATATTAACAAAATATGCAGTTTCTTCTTTCCCTTTCTAATTTGGAGAAAAAAGCATTACTGCTTGAACTGACTCCGAAATGTTTTGCATTTTTTCGTAATGAATTTATTAATACGCATTAGACCCCGTGTGCAAGGTTTGTTTACGTGACAAATTTCTCACATATGAATACGAAAAACACATAGGAAAATTTCCGACTTCTGTGTGCAAAGACCTTAAACTGGTCTGTAGAAAGAGACTCTTTCTTGGTGAAAGAGATGTTTCTTTTTTACTTTTTTTTTTTTTTGTGCAGTTATTCACTTCATTTTTTTTTCTTTTTATTTGAGGTTAAAATACTGCATTTTTAAAAAATGAAATTTAAAAATGGATTTGCTTGTTGGATGGTCATGATAGCCTCAATTTTTAATGAACCAAAAACACTTCCTAATTGTTTAGAGAAAAAAAACTTATTTTTAAATAAATAAATAAATTTTTTATTATTTTTAAAATGTAAATTTATCACATCATGTAATTAGAAAAACTGTAGTCTATTGTTATTTGTAAAGCAAATAACAAACTGGAAATCACATTCAACATTCCTTGTTGTGAATTTGAATGATAAAAAATTTGAACAAAAACATAGAGCATCCCGATTTTTGTACTCTCTCTTGTAAAATGGCACATTTGAAAATTCATAGATCACACCAAAAGTCTAATTGGTGGTAAAATCAGCTTTAATATGCTTCAGGATGACCTTTTAGTGCTTTAATCCTTTTTTATTGGTCATTTTTTCATTCAAGAGTAAGGTCCAAGACAAGTTACTTGTAAACTTTATTCTCTATTTAACAACAATACAGGAGGTTAGAAGTGGAAGTTGATCACTTATGCCAGATTCCGCTTGGTCAAAAAGTTGCCTTTTGATTTATTTTTTACAATTTATAGTGGCATAACGGTCAAAATAAGACAAATGTGCTCATGTATGGGACAATATCTGGACCTTTTCCAGTGGGGGGTAGCTCTTTAAACCACCCGATCTCCCCTGGCTATGGGCCTGCCTTAATGAAAAGGACATTTTTGAATATGGTGAATGGCTTGAATATAATCAAATGTAGCGATAATGTCAGATAAAAATATAATTTTATATAAACAAATGTTTTAAATGGACTTAAAATCTTACAATTAACATTATAGCTATAATTCCACTCAAATTTTCTGAGGGATCAATTAACTGAACATGAACTCAACATTGCATATTCTGCACGCTGAAGAATCACGTTGACTATTGTGGATTTGCACATAGTGAAACGATATATTGTGCAGCCTTACATGTTACCTATTAAGCATGTTTGGAATGGCCTATACAACAGCATTCACATGTTCCAGTTTCTGCCATTATCCGGCAACTTCGCACAACCAATAAACAACCTGGGGTGCATTCCCAAACAACAACGCAACTCTCAGTTAAACTATCATTGTATGATGCATCGTTTGGGAAAGGAACGATGTAGTGATGGGTGTCTCTCAAAACTGTAGTTGCTCTGTCACGGATCTGTTGTTTTGAAACACATTAGTTATAATGTAAAATGTCCTGTAACTACGTATGTGGTGTAACAATTTGCACAAAAAACTATAGGTTTGCCAACAAGCCCATGTTATATAGGCCTACAGTACATATCCATTTCTTAATAAATCTACTATAAATGAAAACCATTAATGTATGATATATATTTTTTATTTCCACAAGGTAAATTACGCTTTTAAATAATAGATCACCTATAGCTTCACATGAGCCACGGCTGCATTCTAAATGGCATAAATGTTTTGAATGTTTTTCAATCAAAGTGCACTAGTAATAATAACAATAATAATAATAACAATAATAATAATTCCCTAAGCCCTGCTTAATATGAAGATGATCACTAAAACTGAACTGTAAAAATACTTGGAAAGCAAATTACACCTAAGAGAGATGACCTTTTAATGTTGTTGTTGTTGTTGTTTTATAATTTCAACTAGACCTGGTGACTTTTTTTTTTTTTTTTTGGACCCTCTTGTTTCTTTCATTTAGGCTATTCATTCACTTTCACACAATTTTATTACTTTGCATTACTGCCTAAGTTACTAAGTTAATGCAGTAATATACTTTTTTAGTAATAATAATATGCACAGTTTCACTATTACTGACTCTATCAATGAAGCTTATGCAGCGATACCATTTACATAAATGCAGACAGATCATGGCTTCAGCGCCAAATGAGTAGTTTTTATTTTACTCTATATATTTCCTTCCATTTTAATTTCAAATAATATAAATGTTTAAAGTTTTAGGTAAAGATGTCAAACTATGCCAACACATCCAAGCTAACCCACTATTCATAAAACCGGTAAATAAATATAGTGAAATAAGCATAACAGAGTCATCACGCTTCATGTAGCCTATTACCCTGTCAACATCAGTGTGTTAAAAAAAAGTAAAATGTTACAATCCAATGTCATAGAAAAAAAAAATAGAAGCTAAATATTTTACTTAGTTACATTTTAAGGCATTAGTGTAGCAAAACAGAGAGCCTGTCTACCTCAAAAAAGGAAAGAAAAAAAGGGTTACATTTTGGCATAACACGCAACTCTATAGGCAAAATAACTTTTTGTTAATATTTTAAAGGTAATAATTATTAATGTTAGGCTATCATAATTGGGGTTTTTTTCATGAAATTGTCCCGATGGCATTTGTAAGAACATCATCATAAACCATTAGGTTACTAAAGGCCTACCTGTCATTTTATTTATTTATTTACCTTATTTTAATACCTTTTTTTCAGGTTACATTTACATTATTAGGGCCATGAACGAGTCAAAATAAAATCAATAAGCTTTAGTCGTTAAAATAGGTCTACAGGATATTTTCTGGTGTTTAGTAATGAATTAGGCTTCACATCATCCACTTGTCCAGTTTTCTCCCATGTTTAGAGTTTAGAGTGCACTTCTGCCACCGTGTGCACGCTTTAAATGCTATGGGCACACCTGACTTGAAGCGGTGACCTGATCTCTGAGATTGCTTTAATTTCACAATTTTCATAATTTTTCATATTATGAAATATCTAAATGTGTGTTCTGAAAGTTGGAATGAAGGGAGTATTAGCAATTAATGACAAAGGATTTTCAGTTTGGAGTGAACCAGGGGCATCACTAGACCCCACTTACTTGGGCACGTGCCCCAGTAAAAATCGCCAGTGCCCCAGTAAATTCTTTGAGATGCGATTTACTTAATATGCAATTGTATTTATTAAAACTGGTAATCCCAGAATAATATTCTCATAATATTCTCTATGTGCAACCGAGCCAACACTGATGATGTGCTGCTTATGCTCCGTGTCCCAGTTGTGAACATGTGCACGGAAAATGCGCATTTATTGTGAAACCGGTGTAAAAGCCTTTAATGGATAGTTGTCTTCATGCAGTGAGTTTTGCAAGTCGACAAAACTAAGTTTATATAAATTGATGGTGATCTTACTAAGCAAGCCTGACTTTTTTTGAATGAAGCAAAAAAGAGGGGTGATAATTCAGGGAGGTGAAACTTAATAAACAAATTCTCTGCAATGTGTCAAGTCTAAGAAAATTTACTGCTAGGCCTGCTTGGGGTGGGGGAGGGGGGGGGGGGGTAACTGGCAATGCAACACAACAAGAGGTGTAGTTGTATGCGCGTACAAGTTTGCAATGCATTGTTCGTTGGAACGATGGATTCGGGAAATGTCAAAACAAGGAATTTTGTTTGTAACTGCGGAACTTGCGACCTTAGTTGGCTAATGATGGTTTTTGGAAACACATCCCAGAATAACTTTATATGTGAAGCAAATGGTGGTAGATCTTTCATTGCTGTTGAGTGCTGTGTTAATATATTTGAACATATTCTTCTTTTCTGGGCCAGACTTTAGTTCAGCTGGGTGTCTATGCTATGGGTCGTGATCATCAGTTCTTCCCGAAACCAGAGCAATACTGTCCCTCTCGCTGGATCAGTTCTAAGAGACAGTACTTCAAGAGCCTGGGCTTCGGCTTTGGTCCCCGCCAGTGTCTGGGTCGCAGGATTGCCGAGACTGAAATGCAGATCTTCCTAATTCATGTATGTGGACTTTTAAGGCTAGGAACTTAATATCCTTAGAAAAATAACATTGTGAAGACTTTTTTTTAACTTTTGTTGTTCTTCCTTATAGATGCTGGAGAATTTCAGGATTGAGAAGCAGAAGCAGATTGAGGTCAGGAGCAAGTTTGAGCTCCTTTTAATGCCAGAGAAGCCCATCATGCTTACCATCAAACCACTGAATGCCAGCAGATAGCAGAGATGCAAACAGGAAATGACGTCAAGTATGGAAGCTTTGAGGGTGGCAAATATCCACTTTTGAGTTTTAGAGATTTGAATGTACAGTATGTTTCTTATCATTTAAAGAGATACTTTAGTGTTTACTCACCCTCACATAATACCAAAACCGTTCAACTTTCTGTTGAATCTATTCAAACAACATCTGAAATTAATTTATCTGTTTTAAAATATCTATTGGTGTCATCCACAGAAAAAAAGGCGAGTAAATAATGAAAAATATAGTCTAAGAGTTTAAAGCAACACTTTGTCTTAAGGTGTCCTTATTTATTTAATCCATATGTATATCCCTGTTAATATGCCTGGATCTGTTATTGTGTGTGAGTTGGGCACTATAATATGAGACCATGATCCTTTTAAATGTAAATTTGATATTCTATTATGCTGGGATATATTGTGTTATGAATAACATTTCAGTGATTTGCAATTTCAATTATTTTATTCTTTGTTGTTCTAATAAATCTTGCATATTTTTATCTGTGAATCAATAAATTGAAATCTCATCTACATAAGACTCCATGTTCTCTGATAAGAACACTGTAGTGGTTAGCTCTCTTCATTATTTGATGTTGAATGCTGAACTGAAGCCTTACTATTATAAACAATTCATTAATGCATAATAATGAAAATTACACATGACTAACTTTTAACCCAAACCACATTCCAAACCTAACCACATAGTATGCACATGTGCTTAATTAATATTACTCGGTATTAAAATGAATAGTTACACTGTAATGTGGACACCTTAAAATGAAATGCAATTTAATAATTTTCTTGAACTATTTTTCATAATTTTAATGTAATCCAGGGGTGCCCAAACTCAATCATAGATGGCTGGTGTCCTGCAGGTTTACTTCCAACCCCAATCAGGCACACCTGGGCTAACTAATCAAGCTCTTACTAGGTTTTGTAGAAACATCTATGCAGGTGTGTTGAGGAAAGTTGGAGCTAAAATCTGCAGGACATCAGCCCTCCAAGACCGAGTTTTGGCACCCCTGATGTAATCAATCACTAAATTCAGAAAACATCAGCAATAGAGTATGAGTACAGAGATTGTGGCAACACATTTTAATAAATATCCTGCTGTCTTCCTACATTTATTTAGAAATAAATCAGTAGATCAGTCCAAAAAACTTGAATTGCTCTATTGTTTTTTTTATTGTTCTAATAAGTCACTTGAAATAAGGTATTGTAAAGAAAATACACACACTGTTGTCACTTCAGAGGTTCCAGCTGCCTCAGCTGAGTGTGTCCCAATACAGAATCAGTCACACTTATCTCCTAGGAAATAACGAAACAAGGGACACTTTCTAAAAACATGCCATTTTAGTGAGTCATTACTATTTTTAAGTCATTCCGGGCGACAAGGAGGCTCAGTGTTTAGCATTGTTCCCTCACAGCAAGAAGGTTGCTGGTTCAAGTCAGTTGACATTTCTGTGTAGAGTTTGCATGTTCTCCAAGTTTTCATATGGGTTTTCTCTGGGTGCTGGGGGTTGCCCCACAGTCCAAAGACTTGCGCTATAGGTGAATCGGGTCAACTAAATTGGCCGTAGTGTATGTGTGTGGATTGAGTGTAAGGGTGTTTCCCAGTATTGGGTTGCAGCTGGACGGGCATCCAATGTGTAAAATATATGCTAAGTTGGCGGTTCATTCCACTGTGGTGACCCCTGGTAAATAAAGAGACTAGGCCGACAAGAAAATGAATGAATGAAACTTATTTTGGCAACGTAGTGGTGCAGTAGGTAGAGCTGTCGCCTCACAGCAAGAAGGTCGCTGGGGCGCTGGTTCGAACCTCGATTTAGATGGCATTTCTGTGAGGAGTTTGCATGTTCTCCCTGCATTCGCGTGGGTTTCCTCCTGGTGCTCTGGTTTCCTCTACAGTCCAATGACATGCCGTACATGTGAATTGAGTAGGCTAAATTGTCCATAGTGTGTGTGTGTTGTGTGGATGTTTCCCAGAGATGGGTTGCGGCTGGAAGGGCATCTGCTGCGTAAAAACGTGCTGGATAAGTTGGCGGTTAATTCTGCTGATTAATAAAGGGACTAAGCCAACAAGAAAATGAATGAATGAATGAAACTTATTTTACTGTAGTATTCTCTTTGGAGTCTTTCATCTCAATTTACTCTTGAAAATCTAAATGAATACTGAAGTCTATATAACTGATTATACTTTGTTATACTGACTATACAACATTGATGCTTGTAAAATTAAAAATAATAATCGCATAAATTTTTTATAGGAAGTTTATCAGTGGCAGAAAACACTAGCTGTGCATGTACCCCATTGGATTTTGTCATTTAGAACATATATGATTACTTGAAGATTGCATGTAAACACGTGTATTAGTCTGTGCTACCTAGAGTTCAATGACTGAATTAAACTTTTATTATCTAGGCTAAACAAGTAATAATAACTGAACATCATATACTCACCACAGGTAGATCATGAAGAATCATGGCTGAAGTCCGAGCAAATCCACGTTCATATTCACTGACTCGTGTCAACATCTCTTGTTTCTCTTTCCCCCACAGTTTGGCATTCTCTTTTAGCTGAATCAAACATTCGCAAATGAGTAATATTACAAAATTTGTTCAAAGTATTATTTATCTTATATGTATATTTTAATAAATAGTTTATGTTGACTGTGCATTTTCAACTGGGTGTCATGCTCATAAGTTTCAAAAAACATACCTCGGAAACGAACATTTAGGAATTTATGAGCATGCAAACCAACCCCTAACACAAAACCTAACCATTCGTCAACAATAAAACAACTACAGTCTTAATTCATTCAAAAGATTAGAATTTTCCAAGTCTATTAAGGCAGCACAAATAATGGGAGATGCGATTGTTGCCTCCATTTACCGTTTAGCTCAAATGCTATGTCACAAATTACATCAGTTGTTGAATGCTATTGACTTACTCTGTGTTTCATGTCTGATTGCATCAAATATTATTTGCTTCCACTGTGTTTCATGACTGATTTCATCAAATTCTATAGTCTTCCACTGTGTTTCATGACTGATTTCATCAAATTCTATAGTCTTCCACTGTGTTTCATGACTGATTTCATCAAATGCTATAGTCTTCCACTGTGTTTCATGATTAAGTCAAATGCTATTGGTTCCCTCTTTGTCTTGTGACTGATTGGTAGGCCCAAACGGAATCTGCATGCACAGAACTCCTCAGATTTTTAGGCTATCATTATTTCTGTTTATTTACTTGTGTTTATGAGTGTAAATTTATAGTTATTCAGTTTTTAAATTAATTTCAGTAATAATGTTGACTAATATGAAAATATTCCTATAAATTATTTACAATACAGCTTGTAAAGTAATATTTTCTGTCTTTTAGTAGATATATAATATGAGAGACTTGCTTTGTTTACCAAATAAAGTGGATTTAATTGGATTTGCATAGTAAACATTAAATAAAAAGTTAAATTTATTAGGTTTTTAGTTATTACGATACTCCCAAAATCATTCCGCATAAATTTGCAGATTTTAAACAAAATTCTCAGCAGAAATATCACAAAATGTCCGCAGATTCTGTCTGTCCCTACTGATTGGGTCACGCTAATGTGCTGGAGCATCTTTTTTTTTATTTATTATTAATTGAAGGATAACAGTGAGCAAGAGCCTTTACTATTAAATAATAATATGAGGCACAATGTCTAATTCAACAGATTAGACTAAATTGCATAAAAATTCAATAGCATAAACCCGTGTTGTCAGCAGCGATGTTGCCAAATCTGTAGTTTAACCCATGAAGTTTGTACTACCAACAGAAAGGTTGAATTAGTGTTGGTCGCATTTTGTTAAGCAGACATAGCAACCCTGTTTGCGTCGAGGGAGAACGGGAAATACAGCCGTGAATAAAATCAACTGCAACACCGGATTGTTTTCAGTCATTAAAACCTCATCACACAAAGACTATGTATTGCTTAGAGGACTTGAAATACAACACAAATTGTTTGTACTGCTTTGATATTGTTTTTTTTTTTTCAATAAAATACATGCGATTCCGTGGCATATCAAGACATGTTGCAAGTTAAATTAACTCTAAGATCTTACAGTTTGACAAAAAGATCATGTTCGTACAGTCCGAGATGTTTATTTTAGCTAGAAGGAATCAGTGTATTAAATTAAAGTTTGCTTTTGAGTTGTGTTGTGGATCATATATAGACTAAATTTTAATTATACTCAACAAAAGTTATGTATTTAGAACTTTATTTTGTGATTTTAACATGTATGAAAACTGAGGCAGAAATTAATATCAAACTCTGCATAAACAGTTAAAGAGTTTTTGGCCTCCTTTCAATACAGAAAATCAGAGTAAGAGCTGAGTGATATGACACGATGCATAAACATGCATCAACTTATATTCAGCAGTTTACATGTGATTGTTGCCTCATTATAAACATACATACATTACAAAATATAAGCATTAACAAGATAACATAAATAATTCCAGACCTTATGCCTCTGAATGTGTTTATAATACTTTTCCCAAATTTCGAGAATTTTCCAAATGTTGATAATGAACTTTATTGAAATAAGATACACCATGTCTAGTTGCTGTTAGCTCCATAATGGTAGTGTGGGTAGTGGGAAACCACATACCTAGCAAGTATAATACAAGCATAGATAAACTTGGAAACAAGGGAAGAAATGAGCATTATTGTAATCTTAAAATAAAATGTGAATTTGTTCCAATTGAGCAGTTTATCACTGAGATTTTACACTCACATGATTTACATGTAAACAAGGAAACAATGGTGTTTGTGGCTCACAATATGCCATTTCCATGTACTAATTTCTTATTTGTCAGCTATACCTATTAGGTTTATTCAGATCTTGATTATTTATTATTTTTAGCATTGTGATTACGCCATACCTACTTTTGGAGAAATGTACAAATGTGATTTTTTTACTTTCACTTTCAGAACTTTAATCTTCCACATAACTATATGGATAAAAGTTAAATGTCCTAATAACATTTAAAATCAAACCTGCTGCTCCAGTGTCTGGATTTGACCCTCAGCTCTCGCCAGTTGTGTCAGTAATTCCAGTTTCTCACTGTCTGAGAAAGGCTGATATAAGGACTGAGATAAAAACCAATAATGAAACTAAGTGTTGTTCAAACAGGTTGTCAGTAGTTTAATTATCAGTAGTCTGAGGTTTACCTGCGCAGGCTGTTGAATGATGATTGGTGGAGGGAGATTACACAGCCTATCCAGCTCTTCTCTGAGTCGAGAGTTTTCTGCCACAAACACAGACTCGATCTCTCTTCTCTTCTCCTCTTCATCTTTATAAATTCAACACATCAGATTGTCAGGCATGAGTGTTTTGTCCTTTTTAATTTATTAATTTTTTTTCAGCTTAGTCCCTTTGTTCACCAAGGGTTGCCACAGCAGAATGAACTGCCAACTTATCCAGCATATGTTTTCCAGCTGCAACCCAGTATTGGGAAACATCCAAACACACTCATTCACCCACATACACTGCAGCCAATATAGTTTATTCAATTCACCTATACCGTATGTCTTTGGACTGTGGGGAAAACCAGAGCACCCGGAGGAAACCCACGCAAACACGAGGAGAACATAAAAATTCACCTGTGAGGTGACAGTGCTAACTACTGAGCCACCGTGTTCCCCTTTTTAATTCATAACAATGGTAAATAGAGTGCTATATATTATGGAAAAGAAAACTAATTATGATGCTGGCCAGATTCGAACCCAAATTTCCAGACTGAGCACCAAAACCACTAAGCCATGGCTCTGACTATTGAATAGCAACGGAAACTAATTAAATACCAAAACCAGATGTTTAAACATGCCTTTTTGTTTCATGGCTGCTTTCTTCTTCTCTGAATTGCCTTTTCTTCTTTCCTTCAGATTTGCATCCAATAATTTCTCCATCTTCTCAATGACCTGCTCGGTGAATTCAAACAAACACACAACTTATTTATAGTAGATGTATAAAGGAATCATCCAACCATCACTTTTAGTAACCAAATGCACACACACACAAACATCCAGTATATAAACTTGTATAACGAAAAAGGAAACATTTGCATCATTAATTATTTTTTCCCACTAAAAATGATTGTATAATGAGTTAATTCACTCTTTATTTGTTTTGTTTTTTTACTTTCTTTATATTGACAAGAAAAGGGTGTGGCATCTATATACTGGATGTGATTATAGACTTGCAGGTATATTTTACATATCCAAGATTAAGTCTACCTTTCATCTCTTTTGTGTGGTTATTAAGTTAAATAAATATTTGCACATAGCACATATTTCAGAAACACATATTTTCTGTATTAATTTATAATTTCAGTTTATGAAAAACAAGATAATTTTTGTGTCTGTTCCTTCTTCCTGGTCAACTCTATTACATTGGTAATAAAAAGGCCTTTTAAAATACACTGTAAAAAAAATGTTGGAGGAGTTGGAGCTCAAGCTCCCCCTTATTGGAGTCCAAGTGTTTCTGCAGCAAGCAGTGTCTTAGAGGTCATGGTCTTTAACCTTCTTGTTTGAGCAACTCGATCTCAGCTCAGAGTGGGTTGGGTGTTGTAGGACAGCATTTTCAAGGACAGGGACAAGGACAGCATTTTTACCCGACCAAAGTGAAGAGCGAGGGGAGCGCAATGTTTATGAAAAGTGGGGTGCTCCCTATGGCCAGCGTAAAGGCTGATTTATACTTCTGCGTCATACTTATGCCAGCCTTCACACAGTAGCCTTTGCCGTGGCTGACGCAGAAAGCCGTTAGAACCCATTGGAGCGAATGTTAACACGTGTTGAGTCCCATAAAGTATCTCCAGTTGAAAACTGCTGTGGTGGATGAAGAGATTCCCCCCAAAAATGTGTAAAGCGCTTTGAGTGTCCGGAAAAGCACTATATAAATGTCAGGAATTCATTCATTCATTTTCTTTTCAGCTTAGTACCTTTATTAATCTGGGGTCGCCACAGCGGAATAAACTGCCAACTTATCCAGCACAGAATGCCCTTCCAGCCACAACCCATCACTGGGAAACACACACACTCATTCGCACACTCATACACTACTGTCAGTTTTTAGCATACTTAATTCACCTGTACCGCATGTATTTGGACTTGAGGAGAAAACCGGAGCACCAGGAAGAAACCCATGAACACGGGGAAAACATGCAAACTCCACAAAGAAATGCCAACTGACCCAGCCAAGGCTTGAACCAGCAACCTTCTTGCTGTGAGGCGAATGTGCTACTCACTGTGCCACCATGTTGCATGTCAGGAATTATTATTATTAACAATATAAAAATAATACTCCATTGTAATACAGTACAAACTAATAATATAACGTTTTATATGTAATGAATTTTCCACCATCCCATGAAACTGGCTATATTGATGTTTTTTGATAGCTTTATTATCTGGTGGTCTCTAAATGCACAAAAAGGCATATAGTTGTATAGAGAACATCTAAATACCTTTTCTTGTTGGCGAACTGTATCCTCCAGTGCAGTTATTTTCTTGTCACGGGTCTGGTATCGTTTTAACACAGCCTGCTGCTGTTGATGTGCTCTTTGCAACTGGACAAACTCTTTCTCAATGTCATTCTTCTGCAATAAGCAAAAATAGAAAAAGACAAAAAAATAAATAAAACTAAAGTGTGAATTTTATTTTGACAACAGGAGACGCAAATTGTTACTTTGCATTACTGAGCAATGACTGCATGGGACAAGTTTAAACTTGCGTCATGAAGCAAAATGGAGGATTTGCAGATTATATATTTATTCAGCTTCACACCAAAGAGGCATAATGTATATTTAATTGTCTCTTTTGCTAATTTATCGTGTTTATTTTGAAATTTGATGCGTATGTTTCAACAAACACTTGTAGGCTACTGAATCTTGTCAAATTCCCCAACTGTCATTTGTTGATGCAGGGGTTGATATTAAATCCTTGCTGTGTTTTCTTTGACATTATTGCTTCAAAATAAAACACAATGAATCTTTACTGGACTCTTTTGTCAAGTTCAATTATAATGTAGCCTTTATCCAGAACAGATCTCGTGAGCAAAATAGGTTCACATTACTCTGATGGGTTTAACCCTCTCCATGTAGTTAGTCATTCACTTTGGAATTTTTTTTTTTTTGACAAATTAAGTATTATTACGTTGCCATTGTTGAGCATACATCATGCTGTGTGTGTGTCTGTGAGACATACCTGTCAACATTGGGATATAATAAGGGACACCCCAACCTCTCGTTTATATTTTTCGTTTGATTACATTAAATAACTGAGGTGCCACTTTAAAAATGCACACATGATGCAAACATAATAAAATAATTCGATTGCTTTTTATGCTCATTTAGGACAAAAGTTGTTGTGTTTAAAATAAACCAACCAGGATCGACATGTTTAGATATTATTATTATTATAATTATTATAATTATTATAATTATTATAATTATTATTATTATTATTATTTATTATTATTATTATTATTATGTATATATGTATATTCAGACACCTAACCAAAACCCAGAGTGTCCACTTTCGCTCCTCTCAGATTGCGTGTACAGAATCCGTTTGGGAAACAGTGTCTATTTATCAATGTGGAGTGTGTCTGACAGTTACGCACAGCTACATGATCTGTTTTGAGGATTGCATTAGAGAGGCAAAAGCACCTGTTATAGAATGAAAGGGAAACCCACCATTTTTATATTTATCTCAAAGGGTTTTCATGCCTAAGTAAAAATAAAAGCACAGAACAGATTTACATTTAACCATCCTGTCATGTTCATATCCCGCCCCTTATTTTAGTATTCTTGACCCTCTGTTTTAACTGCTCTTTAACTAACACAAAAGCATTTTTCATCACCAAATATTTATTTAACATTCTTTAGCTGTGAACCATGTCTTAAAGAAGTGTTTATCGTGAATTTATAGATTTAGACATAAAAATAACTGCAGTGAAAATACCAATGAATACAAAATGAACAATAGATGACAGAAATCAAAATGCTTTGTTTTATTAACAAATAACAGCCTGCTTAAATAACTATCACAGGGTCTGACCAAAGAAATTGACATTTTATTCCATCTGAATGAATTATCAACCAGCAAAATACAAACAAAACAGTATCCTTTCCTGTGCATTGAGTGCTCGAAGTTTCATTCAGTCCTTCAGTTGGTTTTATATTAGTGTACTGGGGAATAGTGAAGGCATTGACCGTGAGCATGGACACAGAACTAGCACTAGTTATAGTTTGGTCATTTTTAAGCAAGATGCTAATGGTCTAATCCAATAAAATAATTGAGCGAGTGAGCGAGTGAGTTAGCGTGTGAGTGAGTGAGTAAGTGAGTGATTGAGTGAGTGAGTGAGTTTGGGTGGTATAGAGTATAGACCATTTTGAGGGATGTAAACAAAAACAATGGCATTTCCTGTTTTACATTTAATTTCTATAGCTTCCGACAGTCCAAAAGGAGCCACATGTTTATAAATAATGTTATGACAGCTGTTTTAACATTAAGTTATGATTGATTTGCTTCTTGTTACAGTTTTGAAATAGTTGATATCAAGCAGGAAATGTTCATGGGCCAATGACATGACCACATTGAAATGGTCTATATAGTTATGTTTTCTGTCTGATGGATGAATATAGTCTGGATACCCATTCATTTCCTATGGCGGTCACTTATGACCGGAACACCACAGGCGTAACAAGAATAATTTAACACTCAAAATTCAATGAAAGAAGTGATCATCACTTTTATATGTTCACGTGCATAGTGTGGAGGATATCATAAGGCCTTGAGGTAATCAGATGTAAAACACAATATTTATGAGTGTTTTAAGATGTAAATTGGTCAGATTTGATCCGAACACGACAGGAAGGTTAAGAGCAAGGGATGTGCCCTGGTGGTTCGGCGGTATGGATTGCATATAGGGAGGGTCAACCCTTTATTGTTTATTGCCACCCTTCACAGACAGATTAAAAATATGGGAAAAACCATTACAAGATGATAGAACTGTAAAATATGGGAGAATCCTGGAAAGAGCTGCAAGTCAGTTTAGAGCTCATTAATATTCACAACCAATCCAAATATGGTCAATATAGACCTTCTACACTGTAAAAAATCCAGGTTGCCTTAAATTTTTAAACTGAATGAAATTACCTTATGAGTCCATTGAACTTACATTATGTTAAACTGACTTAAAACAGCTTTTGTATATTATAAAATTAAGTTAGAGCATGTATAACTTAGTTTAATAAGTTACAATGACTTAAAAATGCATGTTGTCAAGACTAATTTATCTTACCATTTTTTACAGTGCAGGGGGACTTTATGGAATAATAAATAAACATATAAAAATATTTCTCGAGATTTTTTAAACTTACCTTAGCCATATACTCACTATAGATATCAGAAAACAATTGATCTTATTTAATCAATGCAATATATGTCACTATTAAGACTTCTGCCAGCCTTGTGTTTTTCGTCTTTGTATTAGTTGCAACAAGATATATGCCATGCGGTCTGGAGGTGAACTCAGTGACCAGTCATTGATTTCTGGAGGAAACCATTAACGGATTTGACATCGTAGCATTTCCATGCGAGCAAACATCAAAAATGTATGCCAGGCAATGGACCTCTAGAGCTTAATAAGTAAATGCATACAGTTTCTGACCACTGCTTCTGCTTTTATTGAAAACTGCAGACGAGGAGAAACTGGCCTTGACTGACCCACCTTGATGAGCTCGTTTTGAAGCTGTTGGATTCTGTCCTTCATGGCGGATGCTTTGCTGCTTTCACTGGACAGCTTGAACTTCAGAGAGGCTGCAAACAAAAAAGACAATCATTATAATATATATATGATTATTATATAGGTTAAATTATTAGCTCTTCATATGACATTTTCTTTTAAAATAGTTTCCTCCTTCTGAAGACAGGTCTATTTCTTTTAATTTGGCTAGAACAAATGCAGTTGTTGCATTTTTTAAAATATTTTAGGCCACTATTATCAGCTCCCCAAAGACTTATGTAGTATTTTATGAAACCATTTTTGTTCAATTAATTTCCTAATTAGCCTAACTTGACTAGTTAACCTAATTAAAGTAGTTAAGCAATAAAATTGCAGTTTAAGCTGAATACTAGTACCTTGCAAAAGGTGCTAAAAGGTCACCACAGCAGATGCCCTTCCAGCCGCAATCCAGTACTGGGAAAACACCCATACACACTCATTCACACACAGACTCATACAGTACAGACAATTTAGTTTATTCAATTCACCTATAGCGCAGTTTCCTCCCGGGATAAAACAAACACAAAAACGAGAAGACATGCAAACTCCACACAGAAATGCAGAAACTGGACAAACCAGGGCTAGAACCAGCCCAGCGACCTTCTTGTTGTATTCTTCTTGTTGCTATTTTTGTGACCTCATTAGATTATTCAATACCAATATCAAACTGAAACAAATTGAACTGGAACAAATTGTACATTTAATTTAATATGTTAGGGAAAACTATGAAATTAATATAAAATATGAGAAAAAAATCAAGACAGAGTTTTTACTTTTTTGCAATATTTTTAATTTAATTTATAATTATAATCTTTCTATTTCTAAAATATTATTTTAATACACCTATCTGTTTAAAAAAAATCCATTCTGTTAAAATGCACCAAAAATTTATATTTATATATTACAATATATTACTTGCACTCACAGAAAAATTTATAAAAATATTCATTTTGAAAATGAGTTGTACTTATTTATGCTGAGCACTGTTTATAATAATACAAATATTTATTAAATCATCACTGAAGCATCAGCTAATTGCATGGCCATGACACTGTGAAGATATTTTTGGAGAAAACCTTACAGACTTTATCTAAAGCCCTAAAAGCCATGCGGTGCATTAGGGACAGAGAAGAAATTAAAGGCTGCGTCTGCTTTGAAGGCCTTAAAGGTCTTTGACGTGTCCTTTTAAACGGAGCTCATGTTTGTGTGCATATGAGTGTGTGAGGGACGCAAACTGTCCTTCAGCAGATAAGGCAGGGAGTGCTTATCAGATTCCCTTCGCTAAATGAGAAAAGTCTTATCAATCCTCAGCATAGCTCGGCGAGGACATGACACCCGTGCCAATCACTTCACACTCACAACTTTCACATTCGAGAAGTTCTAGAAGTTAGCACAACTTTAGTTTGATGTACTTTTTGTGTACTTAATCTGTTATCAGGATGATAATCATTAGTGGTGTTAGCATTAGCCCATAGTAGTGCCTAGCCATGTTCTATTTTTATTTTTATAGTCCAGCCAAAACCAGCTATATCCAACTTAAACCAGGCTGGTCAAGCTGGTTTTAGCTGGATTTGGCTGGTCATTTTCCAGCCTGACCAGCTAAGACCAGCCTGGAAATAGCTGGAAACCAGCCTGGAAATGGCCAAAACCACTCTAAAACCAGACTGGCCGACCAGCTAAAACCAACCAACCAGCTTAGGCTGGTTTAAGCTGGATTTTTCAGCAGGGAATTGTTTAGCCCATGCAACAGATGTTATTGATAAACAGCAGAATAATGCTTGCTAATGCTAACCATTAGGTTTATGTCCAAATAAATTGCTAAAACCACAAAGTAGCATAGCAAAGTGTTAGCAACGGTTAATATGTTAGTGGTTATTTTTTAAGCACATCTTGTCTATATCTTGTCAATAACTAGCAATTTAGACTATGCTCTGAAGGTTAATTATAAGTAATTAAACTGGTAAGTACTGGCAAAATTTATTATTTGTCAAACCATTTGTTAAAACTTACTTAATTGAAACTAACTGTAGCCTATAGGCAAACTTGAATGATATACACAAATCCTAATCTAAAGTCACAGCTAGCAAAAGTAAAGATCTGACTAGTTGATTTTGTAGATTGTAAACCTTTAATGAAAAGGCTGACATAATAGCAGCACCAGCTAATCAGCTACGGTGAAGTGTAAAGTCATAAATAATCTTTATATTCTTAAAAGTTCAAAAGAAGTTCTTGGAAAGTGCTAACGTTAGCCTGATAGCACTGAAAGCCTACATGCCAGCCTGCAAGTGCCATCCAAACCACTCCTCCTAAATATATTACCACTACATTATTTTAATAATTAAAATACTAAACCTAAAAAAATAGGATGTTGCTATTTGACTACCTTGTGGGAGCCAGGTGGCTCAGTGGTTAGCACTGTCGCCTCACAGCAAGAAGGTTGCTGGTTCAAGTCGGCATTTCTGTGTGGAGTTTCCATGTTCCCCCCGTGTTCTCCCTGTTTTCATGTAGGTTTTCCTTGTTTTTATTCCCCACAATCCAAAGACATGCGCTATAAGTGAACTGAATAAGCTAAATTGGCTGTGGCGTATGAGTGTCTGTGTGGGTGTAAAAGGCTGCAAAGGGTATTCACTGCATAAAACATATGTTGAAATAGTTGATAGTTTATTCCACTGTGGCGATCTCTAAAAATAGAGCCTAAGTCGAAGGAAAATGAATGAATGAATGACGTTATCTTTTATGTGGAAACAGGGTGTGCAGAGTTATGGACATTACATATTTTGACAGGCAGGTAGAACAGACGGCCTATCATAACATTCGGACCTAATGTTCTGATTGGACAAACTTGTCTTGCTCCTACTGTACACGTTTCACCGATTATTAAAATCATTTAAATAAATTTTGAAAAATTAATTTAATTGATTGCTATCAGGACATGCAGAGACTTTCAATAGTAAGACTAAAAGAGTTTCTAAGACCTTAAAATGATAATACAAAAAGGAATTATACCAATGCGGTCAGCGATCTCAGTGTTGGTCATGACGTCGACGTCGGTATCATCCAGCAGCGTTCGTCCCAGGTCCTGATGCAGAGAGAGTTCCCGTCGCAGATCACTGTTTTCAGACTCCAAAACCCTCATTTGAGATCGCAAGCCGATCATGTCCTCCGCCATCTTATGCAGAGCCGCACTGTAGTTTTCCAGCTCCTGTAGGATAAATAAAAATACATTTTTAAAGACAATATAACTTGTATATGGATTCCGAATGTGAATAATTACATTCCATATAAGAAATCATTTCATTCATTAATTCATTCATTTTCATCCACTTTTCTGGGGTCAGGTCGTGGGGGCAGCAGTCTCAGGAGAGAACCCCAGACTTCTCTTTCCCCAGACACTTCCTCCAGCTCCTGCAGAGGGATCCCAACGGTTCCCAGGCCACCCGAGAGATCTAGTCCTTCCAGCATGTCCTGGGTCTTCCCCGAGGCTTGCTTGCTGTGGAACACCTTCCTAGGTAGGAGTTATGGAGACATCCGAAATATGATCGAGCCACCTCAGCTGACTTCTCTCAATTGTGGAGGATCAGTGGCTCTACTCCGGGATCCTCCCAGATGACGGAGCTCCTAACTCTATATATAAGGGTGCTCCCTGCCACCCTCGGAAGGAAACTAATTCCGGCCACTTAAATCCAAGATCTTATCCTTTTGATCATGACCCAAAGAGTAGGAACGTAGATTGACTGGTTAATTGAGAGCTCTGCCTTTCGGCTTAGCTTTTTCTTTGCCATAATGGACCAGTAAATTGATCGCATTACTGCTGCCGCTGCTTCGATCTGACTGTCAATCTCACGTTAAATCCTTCCCTCACTTGTGAACAAAACCCCAAGATACTTGAACTCCTCCACCTGGGAAAAGGACTTTTTTTCAAGCTAGAGATGGCAAACCAACTTTTTCTGGTAGAGCACCATGGCCTTGGACTTGGATGAGCTAATTTTCATCCTGGCTGCATCCCACACTCTGCAGCAAAGTGCCCTATTGCATGCTAAAGGTCCATGTTGTATGAAGCCAACAGAACAACATCGTCTGCGAATAACAAAGATAAAATTCTGTGGTCCCTGAGGTGGACCCCCTCCAGCCCAAAGCTATGCTTAGAAATTCTGTCCATAAAAATTAAACAGAACTGGTGACAAAGGGAAGCCCTGCCAGAGTCCAACATGCACTGGAAGTCTGACGTATTGCTAGCAATGCAAACCAAACTCCTGCTCTGTTCATACAGAGACGAGACAGCCATCTGACCGCATACTCCCAGACCACCTTCCACAGAATACCACATTTGGGAGATACTTTTTAAAGTATATAACAGCAAGGTAGAAGCAAAAGCAGAAATCAGGCCCTAAACATGTATTAAATTAGGTGGTAAAACTGTCGGTACAGTAAATTCATGGCACTTCAATATATTAGGAATACTGTTTTATAATAACATTCAGTGTTCCTTTTTCTTAACATTATTCACCTGTGTTGGGGAAAGTTAGCTACTTTTAAAAGTAACATATTGCAAACATTTTTTTATGTTTTTTTAAAGTAACTGTGTTACTTTTTAAGTAAAATAAAGTTTTTTTTCTTTTCTTTTTTTAGGGTTTTTTTCCCATCTCGGCTGGGCTTAAGATCATATTATATTACTTTAAAATGTTAATTTAATTAAGTAAATGTACATTTCTTAACATTGTCAGTTGCTACTACAAAGAGGGTCCAAGAAGGGTCAATTAAAAAAGTAAAATAAAATATTGATTTTTTTTTTTTTTTACAATTTACATGTACATTTGTATTTATTTCCATAATGCAGCAATAACAGTAAAACATGCTAACATCGAATACTTAACCATTTAATTCATAATTAAATAATAATAAGAAGTTGTTAATTATACAATATAGTTTTATTTTTTAAAAGAAATATAAAGGGAAATTTAAAACACAACATATGACAATTAAATACATAATAAAGGGATAAAATTTACCCAAAAATGTAAATTCTGTCATCATTTACTCACTCTTGTTTCAAATCTTCATGGGTTTCTTTCTGCTGAGCACAGCAGAAGGAAGAAAGCTGAAAACATGTAACCGTTGACTTATTTGTGTTTCCTACTAAGTCAGTGGTTGAGTTTCAACGTTCAACAGAAGAAAGAAAATCAAAGGTTTGCAACCAATTGAGGGTGAGTAAATAGAGAGTACCTTTTCATTTTAGTCATTTGCAGTTTGCCACCAGTAGGTGGAATCAAAGTCACATGTTTAGTCGGCCTAAACAAATGTAAGTCTGATTGGAGTCGACTCGTATCAATACCTGGCTACCTGCCCAATAAACATTCATTTTATGCTTTTAAAAGAAGGTGAGATAAACACACACAGTGTGTCAGCCGATGCCATATTTTCAGTCAGTCTGTAAACGCCTCAGTGGTTAATTTATCAATTCTCTGACTGTAGATGCTGGCAGACACTGATGCTGAAAGCTGAGTGAGAAATGTGTACTCAGTGAGGATTGAGACAGGGATTAGGATGAAATCCACCAAGTGAAAGGTATTTTTTTTCCTCAGAATCCACTCTAACAAGAATAAAAAATGTTCAGGCAGACAGTATCGAGTCTTAGACACAGTTGAATTCATTGTCATAGTCATACATTCTGGTGAAAAATAAGCTATTGTGGTCTATTGAATGTGCTATTTCTTTTTAAAAGTAATGTAATAAATAATTTCTGAACCAAACTACAATAAAGTGTATTATAGGCCTATTGTATATTATTTACAACCATTTCTTATTGTAAGCTATACAACATGCGGTATTAATTAGTTAACTCATAAACTGTAATAAATACTGCAGGTTTGCCAAATTTAGATTTACTACAGTATACTATGTTGTAGTATAAGTAACAATATTTAGCCTATATATATATATATATATATATATATATATATATATATATATATATATATATATATATATATATATATATATATATATATATATGTGTGTGTGTGTGTGTGTGTGTGTGTGTGTGTGTGTGTGTGTGTGTGTGTGTGTGTGTGTGTGTGTGTGTATGTACATATGTATATATAAGTAGTATAAGTGACTATTGTAATAAATACAAATGACCCAATACTGTAGTTTCCTGTAGTACAACTTTAGGGTTTGTAGAAACTACATTATTGGATCATTTGTATGTTACCATAACAACTATAGAATAACCATATCATACTAATTTAAAGCACTTTACCATAGTATGATTTGAAAAACACTACAGAATTAAGTACATGCAGTTTATTTGTAAGGATAGTGCCTATTTTAAAATATTTATAATTTCTGAGAGACAGCTCATCGGCATCCAGCAGCCTGTCATTGAGCAGAGCAAAGACGGTTTATGTTGTCCATCCAAAAGATAGTGATAACCCGATTTACTTCTTGGTTGGCCATCTGTTAATTTCTAATGAGTCTCCTGTTTTCGCTACTGTGCAGACTAGTTCAGTAAAAAGAAAGAAAGAAGAAATGCCTGCATTTGTTTTGCCTTTTTCCTTATCGCAAACACAACAGTATTTCGGTAGTTTGCTTTGCTTTGGCTTTTTCTGAGTTAATTTTCATGATATCACAATTGCAACAGGGAAATACTGGGAAACGTCATTAGACTTGTAATCTAAAAATTTAATCAATGTGAGCAAAATCACATCATCTGTTTTGTCATAACTTTAGAAATTATGCTATAAAATCATTTAAATACTAGGTCTAAAATGCTGTTCTGATGTCAGCTGCAGATGTAGATAAATGGCGAAAGAAAGTAGTTCCTCATACAAAAGGGTTTTTAGACTTTCTGTGTTTGATTTTCTTTTTATAAACACGATTATGCTAAATCCAACATTTTTGATTAAAACCAAATCAACATATACCAGTGAAATATTACTGTAAAATTAAGACCGCTTTACCAATCACACAGAGACATTTAAAATGACACCAAACATGAATATAGTGCTGCAAGATACACCATATTAAAACTTTGAACATTTTATGTGAAATGTGCTCTAATCAGAAGGTGACATAAGGGTCAAGAAGGGGGCTTGAGGTGGGAGAAGGGTGACTTTCTCGCATTACCCCCTGCTGTAGTGTAGCTCTGTTTCTCCAGCCTGTGTTTGCATTGTCAACAGTGATTTGAATAGAATAGTTGAGCAGCTGGTTTCTTCATCACTTCTCAGATTAAAAAGTGCATTGGAGCATTGCATCTTGTCCCATGAAATTCCATAACAGTTCTCAGGGTCTGATATTTTGGATTCTTACACAATTATACTTGATTCTGTTTTTAACTATATATAAATACATATTTATAAACTCTATATATAAATAGACATCATTAGACATCATTTTAAAATGACATTTAAAGACGTGCTTGAGTTCTACTTGGACCTAAAACACTCTTAAATTTATTTAATATCAGTTAAGGCTAATGTGTAACTTAATTTTAGCTAGGCCTATGGAATTAAATGTTTTGTTGAACAAAATGCAACAAAGTCAATATAACACTAGCGTGTGGTCCTTTTGGCATATCTACATTTGTCAACATGCCTTTATTGCACAGTTCATTGATTGAACAATAGCATTGAGACATTAGCATTATAATAAACAGACTGCAGGCCAGGGGCTTGCTCCACGCTTCCAGAAATTCTTTTATGCCATTGTGCTAGTAATATATCGCCTGTCATGTAACATCCTGCAGAGGCGTCTGCTTTTCACTCGGGGGTCTCTGTAAGCAGGAAAGTGCCCCGTCTGAGAGTCGCGTGGGGGGCCGATGTGCAGAAACAGGAGGGGTGGAAGAAGGAACGATTAGACGATTCCAATCTGGGCCAGTGTGCGTGTGGCTCCCTGGGGTCCTCTGAAAGAAATTGAGCGCTTAATTGAAAGGGCACACATGCAAGGTGAGGATGATGATGGGTGATGAGATGGGGACCACGAAGGGGTGGAGATGGAGGAATCATCTGAACTCACTGAAGGAGTGAATAGAGAGAGAGATAGGTCCCCGTAGACGGAGGCCCTGCATCGCCTGTACTGTTGCTCCAAACAATCAAATTTGTGATCACACACGGCCTGCGTTCTCTCGGTCTTTCTCTGTGAGGTGCTTTGCCATTATTCCGACAAGATGAAAAGAGAAAAGCCAATACTGTTTTTCCATCGTCA